CCTTCCTTCCGTCAGCGCTCCCGGACGCCAGAGGCCGGTGACGTAAAACACCTCAGCCCCAAACGCGACACGAGAATCTCGCGCGAGCGGGATGGGGAGGGCGCGAGGAGAGGGGGAGGGAGGTGGGAGGAGCTGCGGAGTCGAGGCCGTTCCTCAAAGGAGGAGGCGGACGGTTTGCGTCGCGCGCTCTGGGAGGCTTGAGGAGATTCGGAGCCTTCTTTGGCGTCTCACGCCCATGACTTGCTTTTTGCGCTTCCGACTTCTGAATCAGTGGCCTCCAAACATCATGTTAAAAAATGAAATTATATAAAAATATCCTGTCTTTAACAGTCCAGCTAAGGCCTTGCAACCTATGGCTTCGACAAGAGTGCTGGGAAGCCAACAGCCTGTTAATTGCAGATAAATGCTTCACGTACTGTATTTTATTTATTTATTGTATTTATTTATTGCATATCTAGTCATTTCGACCACTCTAGGTGGCTTACAACATAAGGATAACAAGTTCTAAAAAAATTTATAACAATTAATTAATTAAACTGAGCAGACAAGGATGTACATGGCCAATGTAGCTCAAAACCAGTCATATCTGCATTTCTGTGAAGAATGCCAAAATGTGATTCAAAAGAAAAGCCTATATGGACGATTGAGGAAACACATACAGATAATGTATCTGAGCAGACAAGGATGTACACGGCCAATGTAGCTCGAAACCAGTCATATCTGCATTTCTGTGAAGAATGCCAAAATGTGATTCAAAAGAAAAGCCTATATGGACGATTGAGGAAACACTTAAAATTGAAAGTAAAAAGTGACAAGTAGGATCAGAATCCTAAAAAGTGGCAAATAGGATCAGCATCAAATGCAACTTTTTAGCGCCTATCATGTGGAGACAAACTTACTACAATATAAAATTGAGAGTAAAAAGTGACAAGTAGGATCAGAATTCTAAAAGGTGGCAAATAGGATCAGCATCTTAAATGCAATTTTTTAGCGCTATCATGTGGAGACAAACTTACTACAATAATTAGTAGATTAGAGAAACAAAAAAGGGGGTTATGAGCTGCCTTCCATAGGATCATAAGTCAAAGGGTAGTTTAAACTTAGATTCAGGATGCTGAAAGATCAAGAAGAAGATTACTAACTGATCATTGTATTAATTTCCCATGCTCAAAGTGTTGCAACAAATATTTTTTACTCCACATGGAGTGAGAAATGCCTGATGTTCAAGATGGAAAATGAGAAGGAAGAGGCACTAAAGATAATATCACATACAGTATATACTTTGGCTGGTAGAGTGCATCATAGAATTTCTGAAGAAAATCAGTATGTTTTATGATTTACATTGTTTCATCTGTTTATTTCTATGATCTATATGCAAAACAAATCATACAGTAAACCGAATTCGATTCAGATGAAGGAATGTTTCATCTTGGTGGATGAAACATCAATAGTTCAAAATAAGTAGGCAACACTGTATTACTGGCAGAAAGCAGCAGTGATTTGAAATGACTCCTGATGAGGGTGAAAGAAGGAAATGAGAAAGCAGGACTTGCAATTGCACGTTTAGACAAAAGCCATGATTACAGAAGAACTACATAGCTT